CCCTTTTCTCTTTACCAAATCTGAATACATCCTTAAAAACATTGTCCTTCCATGTTTCCTTTCACTCACAGGGCTCTGGACCTTCTCTACCCATAAGTTCCCTACTCTTGGGAAGAACAATGTTCTTTTATACCTTCCAGAACTTAATCATGGAGTATTTAGTCACCACCAGCCTCCCCACTGTCATTATGGTTTTGGAACTGTTCCACTGTGATATTAGGATGCTCCAAAATTTGTATTTGTTTCTTTATGCATTATGTTTCTTTATGCAAATCGACCGTTACCTGTGCCTCTTAAATATCTCCAACATTCTGGGGATGTCGCCAAGGAAGCAGAGAAAACTAACATTGAAATGTCTCAGTCTACCACACATTAATAAAAGTGAACAACAAAGCTCAAACTGTACATTGCACTATCATAATCAGAAATATCTTAAAGCAATATACTGTACGACTTACCTTATCTTTGGAAGTTTGGCCTAATTAAGAAGAATGGTACTGACTGTTATTGTTAAACTGGAAGTGAGAACAGGGATCAGATAAGAGCAGGAGTGCTTTGGATTTGAGCCCCTGCAGATACCAGGAGGAGAAGTCTCATGATGTGAGCAGTTTTCCACTGAGTACAGCTAGGATTCAGTTGTTTCCTTCCATTCAGATCACATCTTTACCTGAACATCAAGAACCTGTAGAACAAGGTTCTGAACTAAAGCACTGAATGTTCAAGATTACACTTTTTGTTAGATGCAAGTAAATTTCCTGTGTTGTCTGTACTCACTGCAGCCAGAAAGTTTGGAAGCAAATGATCAATATAAAAAAAAAAAAAAAATTGGCTGATGTTGCAGGAAGGTTGACATTTGAATTCTGGTGTAACATTCATTGATGACAAACTGTATTGCTTTACATGAGATCTCACTAATTTATAAATCTACTGTACAGTTCTACTTAAATCAATGCAGCTATGCTGATGTAAGTTAGATGAAAATTTGGAGTTCAGTCTGATCAGTTCTTTTGAAATGAATGGGGATAAGAATAAAGTTTCAGTGCTAAAATGCATGGCAATTGTCAGGTCCTACTGAGAGTTATATAGTCTGGTTGTCCCTGGCTGCCATGTGGAGATAGTGGTTGCCAAAATGTGGAAAATATGATGGTTGTGAAAGTTCAAACGGTTCAAATGATTTTCTTTTACTTCAAAGCGTTTTTAATGTCTTTAAGTGGTTTATTATTTATATGTTTTTTCTCTGCAGAGATGAAGGATAAAGACGGTTTTATGAGGTCTCTTCTATATAGTCTTTTATTCTGCCAGTTTCGCTGCTATCCTAGAGTATTCCCACACCCGATTTCTAGTTATAGGTCTTTCAGCCAAAATGAAGAAGACAATACCTCTTTTTGTTGATTACTTATTAAAAAAGAAAAAAAAATATTGAGCAAATTGACACTCTCATTACATCTTGTATAGTATATCTTTTTCATACCAAAGGATCTTTTTAACTGTAGAAAAAGAATAATTCTGTATGTTGAAGCTATGGGTATAGACACAATTCCCTTCTCATTCACTGAATTCCTGAGCATCATCAGAGCTGAGATAATGGCTGTATGTGATTTGGGTCAGCAGAAAAGTTGTGAATATATTAGCATATAGGTGATTCCATCGCTTTTCTTACTGTTCCTCTGTAGCCTTTTATTCTGTATTGAATTTATATTGATGCATGGTGAAGAGTTGTGCTGCAGTACTTCGTGTTTTTGAACTGAAGATCTTTACATGAATATTAAGAAACTTACACTAATGTAGTTTTCTGTATTTATTTTGTCATTCAGTCTCTTCAAATGACAAATTTTGAAAATACAGCTCCTTTAAAAAATGCTGTTCATCTGTTAAAATTTACCCTAAACCAACTAAATTATTATTTTAATGAAACATGAGTATCTAATGACCTTTGACAGTAAAAATACCATGGCTTATGTAATCATACTGTAAAGGTCTTCTAAATTTTACTATTAAATGATGTTAGTTGGTAAAGGATTTTTTCCCATTATTAATATCTTGTCTTGTTCATGAGGTTATATTTTTCTCCTCATTGAGTAACAGTCCTGAAACAAATAAATTTTTCTTGTGTATGCATTTTAAACCTTGTTGTGATTTTAAAATTTTCTTTCATATGTGTATTTTAATTCTTTGCTACAGTCATGGCTTGTGGCAGTGAATTCAAAAGGTTAATTACGGATTGCATAGAAACTTATTCCTTTTTCTTAATCCTTTTTTTTCTTTGGTTTAATGTACTGTCCCCTTTGTATAAGAATGATGAGAGGAGAAGGTGTCTAAATTTTTTTATCTGTATGAGTGATTATATCATCTCCAGTTGAAGATGCATTACTTTTCTGATCTCCTTGCTCTGAACAACTTCCATCCATTTATTTAGTTGACTGATAGGAACTGAATTCAAAATTTTAAGATGTATTTAGGTTTGTGAATAGGACCTAAGACAACTGACTTCTCTTATTTAGACTGCAGCAAGATTTATGAGTGTCTCAAACTATTGTTTCCTTTTATTAACACTGAATTTAAAATGCCGGTTTCTCACTCAAATGTCCAAGCCAACAGTAAGTCCCAGTTGTTTCTGCACAAACTTAAATCCTGTTATCACTTCAAATTTTGTCCCTTCATGATTCAGTCCTTTCTGGACCTGCTGTTTTCTTTTTCAGACCTTTACTTGTAATGAGAAATAATTAAAATAATTTATTTATATACTGTGAACTTCTGGCGAATGCTGACTTTTAAACATTAAAAGGACAACCGGAATAGTAAGTGAGAAAGATTACAACTTATATTGTAAGAGTAGAATTTGTCATAAAAAGGAAGAGATTTGAAAGGGGGTAATAACAGGAAAAGTATTCCTGACATGGAGATCTTGTAGGTTGTGGAACAGTAGTTTAAGAGGTGTGGAAAATTCCAGGGCTGGTGAGAGTTAGGACTCTAACTAAACAAACCAGCAGAAACGTGAAATTGGAAACTTTCAGGAAAGGCAAATAAATTCATTTTTAATTTCTTTCATTGTATTTGAAATGATACAAAATACAGTGTGTGTCTGTGGATTACCTGTTTCATGAGTGATGCCATGTGAGAACAGATAAGATCATGTGCTGGGATGACTTCCTACTCGTTCTGTGGTACAAATTTATGGGTAAGGAAAGCAACCTCATTTTCAGTGAGGGTTGTAATTCAGCTGAGGTCTTGACACATGAAACCCGTTTAGTCAAGCTCAAGAATGTATTTATAGTTTATATTAATTAATGTAAAAGGCTTCTTATTTGATTAATTATTATTTTGTTACCTTTAGTCCCAGGTGAAATGGGAATCCCTGGCTGATACACATTCTGTAAATTTGAATATGAAATATTACTCAAGACAATCTTATTACCTAGATTTTGCACATGGAGAAGCTTTTGATGGGTGAGAAGAGAGAGGCACTTCCAGAGGAGGATCATGAAAATTATATAGCTACCATTCTTATGGTAGAAAAGTTGATCTCTTCTTACTGACTGTGTAGTGGGAACGTGGGGCACTTACCTTAGATTTATTTCCTGTTTCTCAGGCATTACAGTTAGGGTAACTGAAGTTTGGTTGAGAAATCATTGTCTTCTGTGTCTTGCTAAATAAATTGGAGATTCAAATTTTTCTGGTTACTTCTGAGTGATCTAAGTCACATGATACTGTAATAATAAGATTTCTGATGTGAATGCCTTCAAAAAATAAATATGTAATCCATTTCCTCTGTCACTTGCTTAACAACTTAAAAATTGCTTTCTTGACTTCTTATCCTACTAAGATACAATTATACTAATTTACCCAAAAAATGGATATGAACAGACCCAAACTAAATAAATGTGATTAAGAATTTCAGTATATGTTTATGATTATCTTTGTTTCAGCATAAATAGAGTAACTTATGGTATCTACGTATGAACTAACTTTGTACTGTAGGTTTCAAATCTTCTTTAGTTACTATAAAAATAAAATTTTATTCATTTTATATTGGCACATCAAACCACCATTACTAAATATGTTATTTGATGAACTTCTCTCTTAGTCACAAACGGGTATTTCCTTGGATAAATCTGAATGGAAAATTGAGTCAACTGGCTAGTGCCATAATTGTCCAAGAAGCAAGAAAATAGCAGATAAGGATAGCCATAAAAGTTGACATACTTTGGCTGAACTCATTTGACCACATAAGCCTGAATACTTGGTACAGAAAAATCTAGTTTTTATAATACCCTAGAACCAAAAATGGGTAAAAATAAATCTCATTCTTCTTTCACTCTGCTTTTTTTTTTTTCTGTCTAAATTTAAACTGTCATCTTTAATAGAATTATTTGTATCAGTGTAAGTGTAAAGCAAATTAGATCTTTAAATGCATTCCTTGTTGGTTTTTACTCTCTGTTGCAGCCATAGAAGAGAACTTGTATTGTTGTGCTTTACTACTGATTTTATCTCTATGTTGAAGAGTCCTTTCTGTACTAATTTAGCATTGTTTCTCTGCATTTTATTTATATTGTCATATATGCTTGTTAAATAATTCTAGTCTGTTTGGGTTTTGTTGTTCTTTTTCTTTCCATGGTGATTGATTGCCATCTGGGGGCTAACAGGAGCCCACCATGCTAATTTCCCTTACTCTACCCATTAACTGCTATTGTCTCCAGGGTCAGAGACAAATGTATGAATCCACTTTATCTCTCAGCTTACAGAACATCTCATACAGTGAGCCTTGTATTACGAAACGGCTACATCAGCCTCTAATTACTCAGCTCTACCCTGTGTTGAATGCTGGCGCACCTTGAGAAACAGCATGCAAAAGCACATTTGTTTAAGTCCTCAGATGGTTAACATTGTGCATAACCTCCTCGCAAATTACAGCCTCAGCTGCAGCACATCCATTAGTCTGGAAGAATGAAGATTCCCAAGTGGCCCTGGTGCCTTTCCCAATTCCCTTGCGACCCACCAATCCTCTCAGTGCTTTCTCTGCATGTAGGGAGTGTTCAGAGCTAATCAGGTCAATGATCATCTCACGGCTCAGGGGACATGACAGGAGCCTATCACAGCAGTTACACGATCTTCTAGACCTGAGCACGCTTGCTGAGAATCTCATGTTAAGAAACATTGCTTTGGTGCCTCTTCTCTCACTCCCTAGGAGCCTCTGAGGATTTCAGCTTATCTTTCTCTCTCTCCTTTAGACAGTGAAGAGTTCAACATCAACGAAAAAAAGGCAGAGCAGTATGCGGCTACCCGGAGGGTGTTGATTGAAACTTAGATTGCCCCCAAATCACTGTTGATTTGACTGATGCTCCAGCTTTACCAGAGAAAAGATTTCAATTAAGGTAAGTGCTGCTTTATCTGGCTGACTGCATAGTGCCGAATTTCTGCATTGAAAGTTCAAACTGAGTAAACTGACAGCCTGCACTGCAGCAAGGGAGCCCGTGCCGGGTGTCAGGAGAGGGCTGGGGGCAGAGGCAGATGTCCCAGCCCGGAACTCCTCTCTGGAAGGATTCAGGTTTTAAGCAGCTTCTTATGAATGGCTGCAGTTATTTCTGATTCGGTGGTTCTCTGAAGCCTGGGGGGAAAAAAAAAAAAAAAAAATGTTAGAAACGTGCAGGGGTGGAGAAGGGAGGAGGAAAGGCAAGTGCACTTTCCCCCTTTGTGCTTATTACATTTATTTGAGGAAGCACAGCAGCTGGAAAGCAGAAGTACGTAATGATAAAACTTCATTCTCTATAAGCAATGTCGTTCCTTCGCAGGCAGGAACTCGTAGATGCAAGGCTTCAAAGCCCTGTGGCGTTTAAACGAGACAGAAAGGGTTTTTTGAAATGTGAATCAAGACTATGTATGCAGCTTTTCAGGTTACCGTCAGACTGGGGGCTGTGACTGGCGTGTGTCATGTTATACTCGGAGGCTGGTGGGGTTTGGATAGTTGCTTTCGTAGTTTTGTGGGGGCACAAGGGTGAGTAAAGGTGTTGGTTCAATGCAAGTGGTCAGAAAATTAAATTGGTACTTGCGGGGGGAGGAAATAGTGTTTGATTGAAGAGGGAGAGGACGTATTTTTCATGGGGGGATAGAAAGTATGGCATATCAAAAGAAAGAAACTGATGGAAGGTCTTTATCTGGAAAGAAAAAAAGAGTGGATGAGGGAGGCTGTCTTGAAAGATTAAATGATTAATAAGAAAAAGTCAGAGATGCTTACAGAGCCTGTAAGATGACCCAGTGTACCTATGGCATATCCACCCTAAAACGTCTAAAGTGAACTGAATTTGATAGTCTCAGTCAAGTCCACACTTAATAGCTATGCTGTCAGGGGATGTAATTAAGGAGCTAGTAAACAACTCAAACTTTTTAATACTGTAAGGGACCAAATTAAGGTCTGTTGTATTAAACATGTCCGTGTTCCTTCTGTTGTCCACAAAAATTAACACCTTGTGCTTAAAAATCTATCATAATTGGGAGAAAAGATCAATGGAAAGTTAACCCATTTCACATCTTCCTTTCTTAACCAGATATATAACTCTTACGCAGTTTATAAAAGTGTGAATTAATTGCACTGCTTTTGCAGCCAATACTGACTGGTGTCATTAAATACCTGTATCATTGGTTATCATCCAGTGTTGGTAATAAAATTCATAGCGCCATATCTTTCATTAAAAGCTCAACTACTCAATATGGAGATACATTCTTTTGTCCAAAAATATCTCCCAAGCCCCTGCCCCGCTTCACTATTCCCCACCCCACCACCCCTCAAAAAAAAAAAAAAATCAGGGAAATACTGATTACGATTACCTGCAGGTTTTTTTACTTATTCCATTAGCTTTTTCAGTGAGAAATACCAAGTTCTCTTTCTCACAAAAACATAAGCATATGGGAAAATGACCTGGGGTTTGGGGGGAATGTACTAAGAACACTGACAGTTTTAACTGTCTATTGGTATATTCTTCTTGAAAATTATTTCTGAAAGTAATGGTTTTTATAAATGTGAAACAATATGTCCACTGTTTTCTTGGAAAGGAAGTTGGTTTTGGAAGTAGCTACAGACACTGAGCCTCAATTGGTGTAGTGTATAGCTGACTACTTTTTTTCATGTTACATTTATATGACATCCACTAAGTTTTGTGCTTTTGCCACCCAGAGATAAAAGTCTTGACCAGGGTAGTAATATTTGAATGCACAAGTCAGCTTCCCTTGTACTTGTCTTCACTTAATTTTTGTTTCATGAATAGCCACTGGTTTCTCAGAATAATTTATATTCATTAATATGCATCAGAGTACTCATTAAAAAAATCAAAAGACAATAAATTAATGTGCCTCATGGAAAAATTTATGATGTTAACAATTCCTATGCAGTTGCAGACATCCAGGTTACATACAAGTAGCAGGAACTTGCATTCCAGTCTTTCACAAGGACTGACTACAAACATTGTTTGACTTGATGGCTTTGTTCCCCTTTATGAGACAAAAGTTGTTGCTGTAAGTAAAAAATAAATAAATCACGCTTTCATAGCAGTGTGTCTGTGGGTTTCTAAACAAGTCTTACAAATGCACTTACATCTCTATTATTATTTTACAAGATGAGATGTTCTATCTGCTTCTAAGTGAAAAGCACTTACTTTCCGGTATGCTAGCCTCAGAGACTGTATGAGATGACAGCTCACCAAACGTGGGGCAATGCTGGTTTTCCTCATTTGATAAAAATAGGCAATAATGCTACAATTATTTTCTGGTCTTTTCCATTGGTAGATTGTGGGCTTCTTCATACCTAGTGATGATCCAGAAGTGACCTCAGCAATATGGGAAATATCATTCCTCATTAAACAAATAATTTGGGGCATCTGACTCACTGAAGATTTTCAAATTTGGTAAACACAGCAACACAGCTTACACAAGAAGGCAGTGGAAGACATGTCAGTATAGCCTAGTTCCCTCTCTTGAGCCTTTTTTTTTTTTTTACTCTTAGGCCATATCAAATAGAATTAAATATGTGGTGTTCAGCTTTATTTCAGATATTTCAAGTTCTTTGAATGAGGCCAGTGTTAATTTTTTTTTTGCCTCAAGCCATGTCTCCTTATTACTGACAAAAGAGTATGATTGCTATCTGGCCCAACTCCACTGAAAATTGGCGTTTGATGCTAATGCTTTAATGTTTTAGGAGTGTTTTAAGGAAATGTATTAAGTTGAAGTTTGAAAGGGGTAAATCAAAGGAAGCTCTCTGAAAGCTGACAGAAAACCAACCATAGAGCAGCTAGGAACGGTCCTTCTAAAACTGTATATAGTGACATACGAAAAAGAAAACATTTAATGACTATAGTTAATAATTCAGATAATGTAAGGAAAAGGGGTATATTATGTCACCTCAAGAGGATAAGGTGAGAGTGAGATAGAATAAACATCAGGGGTTAATGAGTTTCCCCAGTTTTCCTTTCTCAAAGATATATGGGAATTTGCTTTACCAAAAAGGGAGGCTTTTCAAGCCCTGTCTTATGCGTTGGAGAACAAATATTAGCTTTCCTAGCAAGACCATCGTCTGCCACCAAACTCTTGTTACTCCTCCTCCTGCTGTTATTTTCAGTCTGTTTCCTGGGCACTTATCCTTTCACCTCTGAGTAGCAATTTCTTCTTCATATAGCTTCTTTTTCTCCGTAATGATTTGTGTTTCTTTTCATTCTGTTCCTCTTAGCATTCTCCCTTTTCTTTCTTTTTCTTTTCTTCATGTACCACGATAATGCTTCATCACCTTCACATCCATTCTTTTCATTTCTTTGATGCTGTGAGAACATCACTTTTCTCATTTGATCCACCTCTGTAAATTTTTCTTTTTAATTAAAACAGAAAACCTTTCTGAAAACACTCCAGTGCTCACATGGATGGGATATATGTGCTCTGATACTCCACTATCTCATTACCCCCTTTTCCTGTATTGTTATTTAGTACTACATTCTTTGTGTCAGAGGCTGTATATCAGTGTACAGTAAGTAGCTAGCACAGTAAGAGCCAGCTCTGTTTCCAGCTTTGGAGTCTTATGTGTGCATCTACACTGAAGAAGTCGCGTGTTCTTAACTGGATCATGGAAACAAAGCTCTGCAAGGCTTAACTTGGATACCTCAGGATGCCATTGTTCTTGCAAAAGTATACCTTACAGTTAAAATAAACATATATTGCAGTATATATATTTTTATATATGCTTACAAATATTTAAGTTTTCAGCATATTTTCAGGGTTGTTGTTTTCAAGCCACAGTGAAAGTTGCACCTTCTGAATGACTCTCCGACTCATAATTAGTTGATTTAGGGGCAAATGTAGTGTTTGCTACTACTTTTTCCTGGCTTCTGTTTTTATTGCTCTTTGTCATAGATGCATCATATTAAAGAATGAGTTTCAAACCTTATTTTCTTTGCAGTAATGGAAATTTTCACTAAGGTCCACTTGTTTCTCAGAGATGTAACTCATTGAAGGCATTGGTTTTGGCATGTGTCACTGGATATTTGTTGAGGCAATAATTTTGTAGCAAATCGTTTAAACTGCAGTGCTGTTTTGAGAGGGAGAAAGCTTCAGTATACTTTCTTACTGAACCTTCAGGCCTAATAGTTTGAGGGGGTAAAAAGAATCTTTCATGTAGATGATTTCTATATCAAAGTAAAATACAAACCTACATCACCATATTTATTACCGGACTTGGTATTTAGCAGAAGTCAGAGACATATGTTTTACGATGCTAATATTGCAATGGATCATTTAAAGAAGCTTCCTTTTCTCCCAACCAGATGGGAGCTAAGATTCTGCATCATGAGACTTGGTCAGATTACTTTAGGAGCAGCTGTGGTTCAGTCTCTGTCAAATGTATCACTTCAGTTTTGAGGATGGGGAGAGTCTTCCGGTCAAGACCAGACTCATTGATGTACACCAGACAGTTCTGGGGCTGGAGAGGAATCTTTCTGTTGCAGATGTCTCAGCTGTCAATATTTGTTAAGGCTATGACTGCCTTGGTTGACATATGTGTAATGTAAACTGTGTTTACTGTCCTGTACTCCATCAGAGTGTGATTTGGAGTCTGTGGGCGCTGAAGTCCATCTCTGTGCTGTTTTGCTGAATGGCCCAGACCTTTAATCACAGCTCAGACTGGAAACCTTTATGGAGACTTTCATGGGAAACAACTAGGTTTGAGTTTCAAAATGAGAAAGTATCTAAGTACAAAGCATCATAATAAAGTACTGTCTTGCACTTAAGTTTGGAAGTTGTATATATAGGTACCGGAATTATGTTGTCCTTCAGCTTTCAGAGTAGAGTATGCTCAGAACAGTCTCTAAAGCAGATGATAAATATTCAGTTAAATTACTCG